ATTTCAAGAGGCTGAAAAGCCAGAGCAAAAAGCACAGAAAGCCCCTGCATCCCCTTGCCACAGTGCTGTGCTGAGCACGTTGCTGGGCCATGCAACAAGCTTTKTCTTTGGAATTCATAGATAATTGCTAGTCCTGTCAAGGGCCATTCATTTTAGTAGTGTAAAAATCACTATGGTTTTATTTCAAGCTTGAGAAACCACTTTGTCAGACTGGGCAGATTTTACCAAACCAGTATGCTGTGGGCTGTGGGCACAGCTGGAGTTAAACAGAAAGAGCCCAGTTCCACAAATACTAAAGTTTCTCTTACTTGGTTCGAAACAGGGAAACAAAGTAAACAAGGCAAGGAAGGGCTGGGGAAGTGGGGAGAAAGGAAGGGGTGAAAACTTCCTCCTTTCTGACAAAACTGTTTTCATCTCTTCATTCCAAAGAGAGGTTTTCTGACATACGGAGTTTTAAATGTTTGTTTGCTCTGCCTGCTTGGTTATTTACTGCTCTGAGAGTCTGTGCTGCCTTTGCTGGCATGCTTAGTCTTTCAGGGAATATGACAGAGTGAAAGGCTGTTTACCTATTTCTACTAGCACTTATTTAGCAGTGAAGTTGTTTTCTGATCCAGGTTTTGCCAGGAACTAGAAGCTGYCTCAGGAACATGGTGGTGTGAGGATCTTAAAGGAGAGCTATTGCCTCWTCTAGGCAGTATAACTTTCAGTATACGCTTTGCTATCACTGGTGTATTTGGCTTGTGGTAGAGGGGGAAGCTCTTTTATTATTCCTGTTTTTTTTCACATGGAGGAAAAAAAGGACTTTGCAGAGAAGAGGATAGAGAAGGAAGGCAAGGGAGRTGTTTATCAAAAGGCCGTGCAGACCATCCATGGGAAAGCCACAGACAGGAATTTTGTGGGTCCCTTACCCATGCTCTGTTAACACCCATCCTCCATCCTCACATGTACCCTCCAGAGCTTCTCTCTCCTGACCTGACCCGGGTGAAGGCAGGCTGTGTGCTGTCCCAGGGCTGGTTCCAGGGGTGCTGTGTGCTGTCCCAGGGCTGGTTCCAGGGGTGCTGTGTGCTGTCCCAGGGCTGGTTCCAGGGGTGCAGCACAGCTGTGTGCCGTGGAGGACCTGAGGAGTTCATGAATGAGCCTTTGCCCTCAGCTTTGGGCCAGTCCGACTGGAAACGTGCATTTGCAGACAAGCTGAGTACTGTTTCTGTAGATGTTTGTGACCTTACCATACCTTTGTATTCCTTTTGCCACATTTCCATAGGGATACAACCATTTCTCAAGGGCTGTGGAGTGAATGCATCTTTTCCTTCAWCCTCTTCAATGTTGGGAAGGAGCACCTTTGCTGCTGAAGCCTGTTGTACATCTGCAGACTGAAGAGAAATCTCTGTACAGCTGCAGGCTGCTCCATTGACCCAACACTAACAAGTCTGCTCTTCCTTCAGAATCACCTGTGGTTTCTCTGTTTTTTCCACAACAGGAAGAATGAATGACACTTCATTTTATTAAAACCAGAAAGGATGCTGTTGGCCACTTTGCTCAACACCCTCATCAGTACTGCCCACGGGGCTCTGTTCTGGATTGGGTCAACAACACGCCTCTGACACAGGATTTTTCCAGGTAGTAATCTGAATGCTACTCGTGCTGTCTGAGCAATGTTATCCTGCATTTAATCTGAAAATGTGTTCTTTTCACATATTTCTATTTTGTCGTTTAAGAACCCTAAATCCCAGACCTCTCCTGTCTTTCAAGGAGGCAAAGACTGCTTGCTATGTACTGGAATGTGTCCTTTATATTTRATATTAACTAATGGGGACGAAATTGCTCTTGGCTCTTGATATTACTGAGTGTTCCCCTTTGGGGGCTGGATTCCTTCCCAGCAAGTGGTAGCAGGCACCAGAAAAGGTGAGTTTGACATTGCTGCAAACTGTCCCTGAAGCAACCCATGCAACTGTGCCAGCACCAACTCCCTTTGTTCAGATTATTTATTGAAGGTGAACTCCTTGAGCATACAGAGCACAGAATGTTTTTGTGAGCACAGAAAAAGACCCCAGAGACGGGCTGGAGAAAAAATTCTCAGGGTTAAAACCATGTCAGGTACTGCATAGACTGCAGGGCTTCCCTTTTTCTGGAAKAGCCAGTTGTTTCCAGTAACTGTGRGAAGAATTACTGTYGTTGATGATTTAGAAAGTAGGGAGAGAGAACTGGGATACTTGTCCCTCTGTGCCTCACTATTTCTATCTGTGAAGTGTGGGAGATGATATTTTACCTTCTTCAGAGGGACATTTGCAAGCTAATGGACAGAAAGTGCTCAGGAACTCCCCAGCTTGGCAGTTGGGGTACATTGGCAATTTGCCCAACAGCTTTTAGAGGTGCCTTACCTAAGCAACAATGGGCGACAGAGGACACAAACACTTTGTCTCTGAAGGGTTGGCTGCTCYCTGGGTGCTGTGTGTCTGTCTGTGGACAGTGCTGCTCTTTTCCTCCATGTTGGGAGCCTTCTCCTCCCTCTGTTCCAGGTTGCACAGAAGCTGCCTGCAACTTTGCTGGCAGAACTGCTTTCTTAGCCAAGTGAGAGGTTCCTGTSTTCCAGCATCACCATTAGCTCAGAGGTTTGGCTAATGAGCCATGGTGCCTGCAGGGCCCTGAAGGCTGGCAAGCTTCTGCAAGCCCCAGAGTGGGACAGTACCTGCTACCCCCAGACCCTTGCATGAATGCTGACATTTTTTATGGCATTGCCGTAATGATCTCTGCTGGCTCTAGACATTCAGAACTAACCCTGTGTCATATCTGTTTTTCTGGATATTTATGCTGTGAGACTAGAAGCAGAATTGCAACCCTGAAGGCTTTCAGCAATGTTAACTTGCCYTCATTGCTAGCATATGAGAAACTTGCCACTCTCTCTCTTCTTTGATATCTTCCCTGGATTTGTGCTGCTGAGAGGCTTCTCTGATCTCTTCCACTAAATGACACAACCTAGAGTGAACTTAGCAGAAAAAGGGTCTCTGAGTTTTAAAACCAGAGTAATCTTTGGGAAAGGAGTAACTTAGATCCCTGATGGTCCAAAAGGCCTGGCAACTGGGGCATGCAGGAGAAACCCAGTTGTTCAAATAGTAGGAACATGAAGAGAAAAGTGTTAGTGTCAATCTTAGGTTAATTGGAAAATATTCAAAGGGCTTTGTTTTGCTTAATTTTGAGGTTAGAACTTCCCTGGGGTTCTATGAAAAGWATGCAACACTGGCAGCTCCTTTGAAATAAGCAGGAGTGAGCTGCAAAGCAAAGAAGTTGTTAGAGGGGRTGTGACCTCCTCCTGGTTTGCTGGATAGGAGCAGGAAAGTGAAGATGGGAATGTTATGCAATTGCTCTTGCTTCAAGAGCAGTCTGTGGTGTGACATAAGGGGATAGGTATGAAGACACCGTTTCAAAAGCAGATCCTCTGTTTATGCTGCTACCCAACATCAAAGATGAGGTTTCCTAGCTCCATCTCTCTCTGGATGCACACGTGGTCTATGGGAAGAGCCAGAAACATCAGGAGTGTTGTGACTCCACTGGTCTGTCACAAACACCAGTGGCCAACTTTGCTCTGCAATAAAAGGTCAGGTCTTCGGATTMGCTGTATGCCCTTCTAAGGCCACCACTTTTTTGTTATCTTTTGTTTTTCTTTTTTGCTTAAACATAAAGTTTCAGGGCAGGGAGTGTCTTAGCTTACATACATAGGGTATTCTGCAGAGCGGGAGCCTGCCCACGGTACTGGGGGCTCTTGGCAGTGCTGGTTGTAACCTCTGGGCACGGGAGGGTGGGGGGACTCACCCGTCAAGTCTGGAGCCTGCAGAGCCAGTTCAGCTCAGGGAGTCACACAGGGGAGCCTCTGGGGCTCCGTGCAGTGACGGGGCAGCAACAGAGCAACCACCTTATCTGTCCTTCTCCCTGTGCCTCGTGCCAGGTAATTCCAGCCAGGCACTCTGCTGTACCATCTGCAGTAGGGCAGCACTAGTACTAAGAAGAAGTTTGAGAGCAGCTCTTTAGCCAGGGAAAACCTCGAGGAGCCTATTCAGACAGGAGGTAGATTCACTTTCCTAACCTGCTTTTGAAGAAAAGGAAGCTCTCCAGGATTGTGAGGCTCTCCCCCACTGTGCTGCCTCAGAAGCATTTCAAGCCTTGGAGAGCCTGAAGACTGGTAACCATGTTCAGGCTGCAGTGTTTAACCACACACCCAGAGTCACAGTGGTGGTGCAGTGATGGAGCAGGGCCCAGAACAGCCAGCAGTGCCTGGGAAGTGAGCACACCACCAGCCTGGGCATGACCTCCAGCAGACCTCTTGGAGGAGAGAATCCTGCAGGATTCTTACGAAGAGCAGAAGTTTCTCAACCCTTTTGGCCTGTGTGCCGGTTCTGCTGATTGAAAAATCACTTCTATTGATTGAAGAACTCTCTCTTCCTTGTAGCAGTTTGAATCACAAAATAGGAAAGCGGGTTTCAGTTCTCTCTTCAGTTTTTATTTCTTCCCCACTTTGAACCATTGTATCAATGGTTGAAATGGGCTGTCCCAGTTTGATCAACTCTGTAAGTCATTCCASCAAAATCTGGTTTTGCCAGCATGGCTCTCCTTCTAACACCAGTGGGGACCTCTGCTCTACSTCCTGAAATGTACCCAGTCCTGGGCTGGGGCTGCAGACATTCAGGGAAACAATCCATCACTTCACTTGTATCTGACCTTCCCACCCAATCCCAAGATAATGATGCAGGTTTTGTTTTCCTGAATTTTTCTGGCTGTTTCAGGCTCCTGGYTTTCACTTTTTTCTCTGCATTTCACCTGTGGCTTTAAGTACACCGTAGTAACCAGTATTTTTCCATATTGAGGAAACCAGATAGTACTTTTAGGCTGTCATGAAGCTGTTCATTGACCTTCTCTTTTTCCTCCTGGAGTGCTTAGAAGGCTCTGGGAATACTCATTATTCTGTTGTGTAATGGCCACAGTGCACTCCAAGAGTCAACAATACATTGTAAAAAGGCCAAAAGCCAACACCCGTGTGGACTGGCCCCTTCCAGCCAGCAAAAAATGTAACCCCTGGAGAACTTTAACTTCACACTGACTGCTATTATCATTGCTTTCTGCTATGTTGACATCAATCACTCTTTTAACTTAGGTTCAATGCAATTGAAGACTGCATAAAATGCAGAAGAAAAAATTCTGGAGGAAAAAACCCAGCCTTACATATTATCTCTAATTATAGACTGGGCATTGTATTTATCATCTTAGACTGAGTGCAATTTTGCATTAATACAGGGTAGTATCACTCCTTAAGGAAGGTAACTGATTCTCTAATGGAATAAATTGGCATGTATGGCCAATAAAAGCATAGTTGGGAACTTTTTAATGTATTTCAACTCTGCAATGTTCAGGCTCTGAGCTTTGAGCTTGGTTGTTACCCATTTCTTGTGTTAATAATGAAGCAGATGAGCWGCTTAGGAAGTCTGGGTGACCCAAAGCAAACCTAGAGGGAAGGTATTCCTACCCTTTGATGGAAGCATATCCAGAGGGAATCAAAATTAATGTAAGCTGTAATTTTAGCCAGAGCTTGGGGTGATGCCCTTTAACAAGATGTGTTGAAAACTTCCATTACATWAATGTCCATGACCAGTTTTGCAAAAGATGCAAAAGAGAGACATGAGTCAAAGCCAAGCACGTTTTCTGTGCCTTGGAAATGAATTGCCTCCAGTGAGCCCTCCTAGGAAGTCAGGGCTGTTTACCATATGGAAGTTACTATGGCCTTATCTTTGTGTTTGTGCCTCTGTGGTTAGGAACCAGTCCAGCTGTACCAGTGCAGCTGTGCTGGGCTGCTCTTTGCCCAAAACCTGGCTGAGTTCAACTCGCGTTCATCCCCATGTGTTGAACTGGGTGGTGCGCGCAGCTCCCGGTCCCCGTGCCATGTTTGGTTCTTTGCTAAATGCAAGTTGAGGCCTCCCATTCCTTGGTTCACCTGGATGTGCACAAAAGGATAAATTACTATGAGACTTGAAATGTAGTGGGAAGGTGAATGGTTAAACAAGTGGTTTARTTTTCCTGGTTGGTTTCTCCTGTTTAAATGAAGTCTGGATTGGTTTAGATTTGGGTCTGATGTTATTAAAGTTGCCAAATCATTCAGGTTTGGATGATGCTCTGGACAAACTTCCAGAGGTCCAGGCATACTTAGAAGACTTATRAACTTGTATTTTTGTTGCCTGAGTCTTTTACAAACTCTTGAATAACCTTWGCCAGAGTATTCAACCTATGTGAACTTGGAGAGCAGCACTAGTCTCCTATGAGCTGAGTGGTGTGGATTGAGATTCAGCTAATATTTGTAGAAGAGTAGGAGTTCTTTAGAGGCATGAGAGTCTTAGCTAATATTTGCAGAACACTTTGAGGTATTGGGATAGATACTGTTACCAAAGGGTGAAGTGGTATTCRCATGTTCTGTCATGTCTGTGTTGTTTACAAATAGAATAGAATGATGTTTTGAAGGTCAGGGACCTTGAGAACAATAGTGGGTTTGAAGCACTCATTTATTTTTACCAAGTTCAGATGCCTGGCATACACAAGCATTTCATTTATATAAAGGATCTGATCAAACATTTTGGTTGTTTAGAGGAGTTGTTTTGCTTGTTTTCAGGCTGTTGAAATGTCAGATGGCGAAAACAAGCAAGAGTTCCAGATGGAGCAACTGGAAGCGAAACACGACAAAGATGCTGATGGGAAAGCTTCAGATTCACACTTGATTGGGAGTCCCATGCTTGGGATTGGGAGTCCCCACCGTGGATTCCAAACCCACTCTCTGTGCAAGCCCTTGTGCAAAGCAGCACCCCATGAGGAAGTTCTTCATTACTATGGTAAGCAAAGCCAGTAACAGTTTATTTTCACTGTTCATTAGTCCATCCATGCTGGGAATTGTTTGGGAGCTGCAWTCTCATCTGGAATACACAGCTTTTATACAGCCAAGAAAATCATAAGCACKCTGCTTTAATGACCCCAAATTTGAATTGCAGTTTCATGGCTTACATTAATAGGGCAAATAAGTGCCCRGAGTTTGATCTCATTCACTGGCATTCATGCTGCCATTTGCACCAGCAGATTAATTTCTATCTTCCTAACTTCTAGTGAGGATACAGACTTAAACCTATGTTTGAGTAATGTTAGAAGATGGGCGATATAATAAATGTTGTAAAATCCCTGGTCATTGATGGAGAAGTAAAAGATAGGTAAAAAAATCTATCTAATCAGACTGCTYATTTAACACAAGAAATTTGTCTCACTTCCTGCAGTCTATGGCCAACTTTCTTGAAGACAAAGAGAGGCATAATTTGTACTGGCAAAACTAACCCTGATTTAAAATCAGAGTAAACAGTTGGCGCAAATTGCAGCTTTTGTTTGTTTACACTTGAAGCTGTGCTAGTCACTGAGGGCTGGAGTTACAGCAAATTCCTAACGTATGCTGCCATCTCATTTGTAATATTGGTGGTGGCTTGTTCCCTAATGTTTTGGAAGCAGAGTACAGTAGAGGAGACTGAAATCGCATTGCAGTGACCAACTGAAACGCCTTCTTTGGTGCTGGTGACTGTACTGTGGGAATGTACAAGGATGGCATTAGGATGTGCTTGGTCAGTCATTGATTGTTTATTGTGTCAATCRATTATTTTAAGGAATCAGTTCTAGATTCTTTAATCTCTTTCTACGATCACTGAGATAGAAGCTGCTAAGCACCTTGCATGTCTGTGTCATTAGATTCTGTGCCAGTCTAAAGGATGGGCAGAGAGCCCTTCAGGAAGGAAAAAYGTTGCATTGAAAGTCACTAATCTGCGACACAGCGTGAACGTGATCTTTAGTTCTGTCTTGGAGACTGCTGTTCCAAAACAGCACCTCAGGAGAGTCATGCTCATCAGCAGAGATATTCATAAGCTGCCATCAGTGGCTGTCCATGAGCTATTGTACCCAAAAGACAAAGCGGGGTGGAGGCAGAAATAATTATCCCTGAATTTGACAGTTCAGAGCATGTGGTGTATAGGGGAATGGAGCTAAACCCGTGGGATCGGTGCTGCCTAATTAATGTCTCTGTTGCAGTGCCATAGCCTGTGCTGTGCTGTGAGCAGCACGCTCTAATAGGCGAGTTCCCTGTCCTTAGGATTGGATCTTGGCAATTCACGCTTGCCACATACTCCCAAAAACTAGTCTGGAGATTTCAGCCACATAATACTCTATGTGAGTCAAACAACAGGAATGTATGAAATCAGATGTATAAGCACACTCATAACTGAGCTTTCATTTTGGAGGTTAGTATTCAGCTGGTTAAAACCCCAAGTGTAATGATTATGTGAGAAAGTCATTATTTACTGGCTGTGAATCCAACGGTGGGAGGCAAATCAGAGGTGCTATGGTACAAAGGTATAGTCAGTAACTTGCAGAACTGAGTGAGTCCTACTTGCTAAGTAGAAAAAAATATCTGACTTTGTTAATTGCAGTCCTCTCTGCCTAGTTCCTTTGCTTTGCATTTCTCTGTGGAAGGCAACTTTATCTCCTCTGAGGAAGACATCAATACAGTCAAATTAGAGCTGTGCAGGAGGAATGTTAGGGAAGCTGAAATAATCTAAAATGCTCCTCGTTCTGTGTTTTGCTGACTGACAAAAGACACTAATGTTGAAGCTTGTGGGCTTTCTAGATAGAGGAACATGTGAGGTCTGAGGCCTTTRCACTTCTCTTATATCTCAGGAGAGACAAGCAGTAGCTTTATGATTTTTTTTCCCCTCCAGCACTGCCTTTTTTGTCAGCTGTTGATAGTAATGYTTCATGCAGAATCAGACAGATTTTCTTTTCTTTTTATTTTTTTTCCATTTAACATTGCTTGAAGTTCAATGCAGTTACAGGAAACCTACTGAAATGGCAACAAGGAGTCCACTTAGGGTAGAAGTTTATAATCTAACAGATGACTGTAATAAGTCATGAGGTTTTCTTTGTTTCCAGCTCAGGTTCTAATAACTGCAGATCTTTGAGATTGCTTTGGTAATTTTCAATGCTTTATTTTTGGTGACTGAAATACTGTTTTCTCAGAGCTGATTGGTCTTTCGTTGTGATGAATTCCTTGACAGAATGTCAGTGAGGATGTCATGAATGCCTTGTTGCCATCTACATGAGACATGTTGAGACACAGATAATTTTTTAAAATTTTATTTATTTATTTTTGCCATATAGAAGATAGGTGATGGGCTAGCTGGGTAATTTTTCTTCACTGCTATGGAGTTGAGGATGTAAATGAAACTACTGTTAATGGCTTTCTATGAAGGCACCACCTACACATTTAACATTGAACTGATGACCTGGAAATCAAATTGAAGCAGTTGTATTTTAGCTGTGGTCTTTTATTGTCATTTTTACTCTATTATTCTTTTGCAACATTCCCTGATTTTAGCTGGGAGTGTTTGACTAAGCCATGGAAGGTCCRTGTTGTCAAAAGTACAGAGAAAACTACTCCAGCTGCTGGGATTTGACTGAACAACATGAAGGTTCTTGTGGGGCCAGGCTGTGGTGCTGGTGTGGGTGATGGGTTGCTGGAAAGAARCCCTGGCCAGGCTGGGAGAGGTGCAGCACGTGAGGTTTATGCCCACGGTCAGACTGTGATGGTGCAGCTTCACATGGAGCTGGTATTTGGCCTGGCTCATCTAGAGGCACRTGTATATTTAGATTGCAGACCTACTTCTAATAATAATCTTTCTGAAGTGGTTGCTAGATAATTGACTTATCTCACTCCTCATAGAATGGTAGCTATTAATTACATGAGTTATAGGCACAGAGCAAAGATGATCAAAGCAGATGATGCAATGGGATACCGAGATGCACAGGGCGGTTTAACACTGATGATGTCTGTTCACTGCTTCTGAAATTCTTTGAAGATGGGTGATATGTAATGTTTCTAATTGATTATATTAGCAAGAGTGTTATCTGGAGGGCACTTGATGGGGATTCAGGATATCTCACCCTGTTTCTTGATATTTCATTGGCCAAYTGAGCAAGTTAATTCCTCTTCCTGTGCCTTAGTTATCCCACTATTAAAATGCAGATTATCACTCATAGAACTGAGATAATTACACTGTCCTTTCTGAAAAGTGCTCAGAGACCTACTGATTACAAATTCTGGATGCATTTTTGAYGTTATTACTGTTTTCTGTGTTTAGACAAGATAATAATAACAACAGGCATGTCAACATCAGTCAATCTGTGATTTGTTCAGAACAGGCAAGGGGAGTTGGGAACTTGAATCATTATTGGTTTCACTTTAAAGGTCTCTGCTAGCAGTTTCTTTAAAGGAAACAATAAAGGTTGATGCCAGAACTCTTCTTTTCTCTGCAACTTGGTGCTTCTCTGCAGTGCCTATTTCTAGTTAAGTGAATCCTAGCATTTGGCAAATGACAACTCTTCAGTCTAATAGGTAGCACAGCACTCTTGTCTGGGAGTGTAAATGTTCTGAACTTAAGAATCTTTGCAGGTGGCACCCTCGATTTAGCAGAGACAAGAATAACATCTATTGCCATTCCTGACAATTCTTAGGTCTCAAAGCCACTTGAAAATGTAGAATTAGATACTGGAGGATCAGATTTAGGTGCTTTGGAAACCCATTATGTACAAAACAGCTGAATATCAGCCTGAGGTGTCATCCTCCAAATGTCATCCGTTGAGAAAAGGCCTATTTTTTTTTCTTTCTTACATACTTCTTCCCTTCTTGATACTTTCTGAAAAACTTGTCATGTTGCTATTTGTCATCCTRAAGAGAAGAAGAAAAGAAGTCCTTACCTAATCTTGAGTTAGTGAAGGTTAATGTGGGGAAGGAAGGTGACCATTTATACCAGTAAGAGAATGGAGAGCTGCTGATGGAGCCAACACCACTGGTAAGGAACTGGCATTGATAATTCTCTTTTGTTATTCAAGGTACCTGAAATGAGTGTTGAAAGGAGATACCTTAGGGCCAGAATTACTGCAAGGCATCCTTTTGCAGTACAAAGTTAGGGCAGTGAATGCTTCCCAYTGTTCCCCACAATTCTGACCTCAGGACCAACTCATTTTGCAGCTGATTTGCTGCTCAGGCTAAGTCCATAACCAAAACTCCTTATAAACAGTAGTAGTTGTTCATTAGATGTTGATGCCTTAATTTCTGCCCCTAGACAATWTTTTGTGCCTACCAAATAAAAATAATACCCATGCAACTTTCACTGAGGCACTTTGGGACTCAGGAACTTTTGAGAATTTCTGTGTTGGCAAATGCTGGGGAATCAGGACACATAAAAATACTTGTAGTCCACAAGATCACTGACAAATTAATTTCTTTTGAGACTTCAAAATATTCCTTTCTTCCCCAAACATTGAAACTTGAAGTATTCATTTCTTCTTTGGTGCATGAGCCCTGTAATCAGCACACTCAGTGTCCAAGAGTATCTTTGCTAGAAGACAATACCCAAATAATCAAACCACAATAAAATCAAACTAGTTTGACACTGCARCTTCTAAATATCTTTTGAAAATAACTTCCAGAACTATGGTTGAATAACTGTGATTCCCTGGGAATGGTCATCTGAGACGGACCAAAGTGTTTCCCAGATCTTGCATAGAGCCTGGCATTCAGGTGCTGTATTCTCAATTTTGAAAAGTGCTACTATTTGGGAGCAAAATTCTCACAAAAGCCTGCAAAGTAATTTAAAAATTGAATATACTTTACATGTGAAAATGTTAAGGCTATTAGTTAAGGCTTCTAAGTAACATTGACACTATCACAGCTGTTAATATCGAGTCCATTTAGTTGTTGCCTTGGAGCTCTTTACAATACAAGCCAGCTTAGTTAATGAGTGCAGTTCTGTGTTATTAGTTACCCCAAATCAGCTGGAAAAGCTGTTGGCTTTTATTTCYGAAATGGAACTGAGTATGCTCGATCTCCAGTGATGGGAACGAAGAATCATTCTGTCAATTCCCTTCCTGCCAGCTGCTGCCAGGGTCAGAGAAGTAGGTCACACCTTTCTGGTTTTGAGATGGAGCAATACTTATTTTAGACCAATTTGCTCTGAGCACGGAGCTCATCTGCTGGGTTGAACCAGGGCATTGTTGCTTTCTCTAGTGCATTGTTCTGTTCTCCCGCTAATTATCTCCAAATGTTTCTTATGCCTGGAACACAGTAGTAGTGATGAATAATGGGCTCTCTTCTCTTAACCCTTCGACCTGTAATTTGGCTTTCCACTCCCACCTAGATGCTTTCACTTTCCTGCCTCCACCAGCACTGTGTTAGTCTGACACCTGCCTGTATCACATTTGCTGCCCCATAACCTCCTCTCTTCTGTTCTGCAAATTGAGTAGGGGAGTGCAGGAGTGTGGTCTTGGTTCCAGCATTTACTGTCGGGATTGTAGTGCTTGCTTTACMTGTGTGAGTGTGCATAAAGGGGCATCTCACATGCCTTCAGCCCTGGAAGAGCCACAGTCACTCCAGACCTTCTGCTTTGGAGTTGACCTGCCCAGAAAAGTGGTTCARACTATTGATTTGTAGAACTTTCCTTGTTGCAAGCTGATTCTAAGAGTTGGCGTTTGATTGCTGATCACTTTGGGTAAGCAGTAGTGCTCCTCAGATGTGGTTTCCTTGTCAAGGGTAGGCTGCAGCCATTWGACAGATCACATGTGAGCAGAAATGTGGGAATTGAAGCCTGAAGAAAGCTGAGGTGACATCTGTGGGTTGCTACAGGTGACTGAGGTTAGTGGGAGGAAGGAGAGGGGGGGACTTGCTGCAGGTGAGTCATGGAGGCAATGCTTGGAGGAAATTGGACTAGAGATATATCCTGTCCTACAAAATAGTACAATTTCCAAACACATTCTTATTAGCCTCCTTTACACTTCAAATCCTCTTGCTTCAGTTTGGTGGTGGTTGTTTTTTTTTTTTCCGGTTTAGAAAACAGAGCTGTCAGCCCAGCCTGTGGAGCTATTGAGGGCAGGCAGACCTTTGGAAGCCTGGCAGGTGTAGTCCCCTGGGCCAGCACTCCCATTTCAGCACAGAGGGCTGTTGTGCCCTGCCTGGCTGTGTCCCATGTCTGTGCTGCCTCCCAGAGTGCTCCCTCAGGTCGCTGGCAATACCTTTCAGCCTTGACAAAACACTCAGAAGCATCTGAAAGCTCTTCCCTCTGCACAAGAGCACGGAGTGCTGTGAGTTCTGCTCTCTGTGTGCCTCAGTCCTGTGCCTTCCCRTGCTGCTTGCACAGAGAAATGCCCCAGAGTAATTGCAAAGGCCAGTGCACTGTCATCACATTCTGCTTGTTTTATAACTGTCCAGTCTTGTAAAGCACTGGCATTTGGTTAGGCTGGAAGCAGAACACAGCTGGAATAGCGCTGCTCCATGTCCCTGGTGGGAAAGGCTGAGCTTTTGTTTATGTTGGTGTTGTCTGTCCTGCAGCTCACGAGGGCTGGGCTGAGGYTGGGGGTTCTTCAATGCTGTGATGTTTTTGGAAGCCTCTCTGGAGGATTCAAAACGTTGAAATTGGCCCATACCTCTTCTCAATCACGCTCACATATCTTGTCCAAGTCTCTTCTCAGCTGGTACCACAGCCCAGGAACCAGTAGTCCAGCTGGGGTACAGCATGGCCTGTCTGTTCACCTGGCCAGTTTGGTGCAGAGAAGAGTTTCTTTAGGCTCATGGCTTTTTCTTTGCAGAGAMAGGTAATAACTGGGCGACAGAAGCTGCCCCTTTAGCTGAAGGCCATGTGAGCTGCTGTCACGCAGTCTGTGAAGCGAATTTGCAAAGGTGGGAGTCAATCCCTACAGCTGAAAGACAATTCTCTCTGACAAGAACCTTGATATTTGTAGACTGTAATTACACAAAGAGACCATGCTGCTAATCTAGTCTCACCTTCTGCCTCATTCAGACGAGACCTGTACCTGTAATGTCTGCATCAAGGCTAATAATTCACTGTTAAACTACAGCACATGTTTTAGGGAGACAGCAAATCTTGTTTTAAGAGCTCTAAGGGTGGAGAATAAAACTCTCCTCCACATCATTTGTTCAAGTGATTAACTACTGGCATTATTGCAAGTTTTAATTTTTAAATACTCGTATTATTTCCAGTTTGATTTTTTCCAGCTTTTATTTTGAGCTTCTGGATCTGGTTATAGTTTTGTTTATTAGAGTTTTGAACTCCTTTAGCATCTCTCACAGTCCCCCACTGAGAAATGTTAATAGATTTAGATCAAATCACCTCCAAACCTTCCCTTCAGTGAACCAAATAAGGGGATGGAAAGACTTCAGAAGCCTGTTCTTTCTCRCTCTCTGCAACATCTGGAATTGAATGATGTGTGAGGTTGGATCAATCATCTGTTCAGAGCGCCATCTGACCACCTATTTGATGGTGTTTAAATACATCCCGCTGAAAGTACTTCTTGTGGCTGTTTTCTAGACCAAAACCATCTGTGGATATTTTCCACTGCCTAACCCGACGAAGCGGAGCCGAGGGCAGGCGGTACCTGCCGGGGGCTGGGGCTGCGGGACAAGTGCGGCATCGGGGACCGGGGAACACGGGACAACCGCGGCTGCTGCCTCGGGAAACACAACTTGACCATTTTTCACCAGTTTCCCGCAATCCACTTCTTGCCTCCAGTTTTCTGTCGCTTGTTTGCTATTGCCCTCTAGTGGAAATAGGACGGCCGGTGGTTTGGCTTCCCAAGCCCTGATTTCTCCCAGTKCTCATTACTCGGGGACATCTTCTTGGTTATGTGACGTTGGGATATTGTTTRCATGGATTTTAACATTCGGCTTCATTATTCAGTTTTATGCTATGCAGGAAACAAAGATTTCCTCTCAGCAATTGATAGCTAATGTCGTGCTACGTCTGAGAGTAGTACAAATTGCCCTGCTCTTAAATATGCTTCACAAGGGAAACTGCAGAAGATGCTGCTGTTTCAGGCTTGGAATAATTCAGTCGTGAGGAGTCCGAACTCTGAAATGAACTTTGTTTACATTGCCAGCACCTGCCAGTCTGGTACATGGAATTATCTTCGCTGGAAGCATAAATACTGCCTTTTTACTATTTGTATTTCTATCTGAAGTCTTTGCTTTTATTATAAAAAGTGAACTATTTAAAGCACACTCTTTCCAATCAATCATTTCACTTTGTCAGACAAGCCAAATCATTTATTGAGCGATCTTGGCTAATCAGAGTCTGTCTTCTTACAGAGATCCTAGAAGATGGTTTATTAATGAGACCTAGATTTTTTTTCCCCTGGTTGTAATGCAGGGAGATCTTAATAAGCAATGAATTGCTGTGTCTGCAATCACTTTTGAGAGGCTTAAAAGGAAAACAATAATACTATGACTAATATGATTGCTCTCCCTACACTGCCATCCGGCGGATGCAAAATTCATTTCCTTTTGCAAATGCGAAGGGAAATTCTCCTACTGATATCACAGCTTGCAAACTTGCACCAAGCTGACTCTCACTTGTAATGCGATTTCCAGACCAAYGAGGAAAATGTTGGTTATTCTTTAATTTTAGTCTTTTCAAATTAGAAAATATGATTTCCAGTCTCTCATCTACAAAATACATCCTCTATCTTGTAATGGAAACCTGTCTGGATCTTGAAAAAGGGCTCTGAAAGCTTCCCAGATTCTCTGCTCTCAATATCTGGCATGGAGAGCCCAAGCCACGGAGCAGTGCTGCTGTGGATGGTTTTGGAAAAAAGGTTGAGCTCTGATGTTGATTTTCAGATAATCAGTGTGTGGGCTATTAACAACCACATGCACCACTGCATTTTTGGTTTGGGGTGGAGAGGCATGGGGGTAGGAGTTAACCCTTTACTTTTTCCCTCTAGGATTGAAGACTGAAATAAAGGCAATTTCGGGTGCTCACAGCCTCCTGCCTGCTGGTCTGCAAGTGGGACCTCACCATRAGATGCTTCCCAGTGCAGCAAAACTCACTGACCATCACTGACTGCTGGGCACTTCTCTGTTCCAGAGCAATCTGCAGAGGTGAGTTCTGCATGGAGGCAGTGAGTGTGAAAGACAGAGTCCTTCAGCTGAGTACACAGCTGTTCGGGCTCTGTCATTGCCTGCATCTTTCTCTACTCCTGGACCCTACATAAATCAATCCAACAGCTGCAGCAATAAGATTTCCTGTGCTTCTCTGCAGGAGGGCTGTGGAAATGRAGCAGGACAGCCATCTACATTTGGAAGCTGGGAGGACCAACTCTGGCATTTTGGCTGCTGCAGGTGAGCCAKGAWATCACCAGAAATTGGCATCCTATCYCTGGAGACATCACAGCCCATGCTGGTYATGGTACCAGTGCTTATCTGGGAGCTTTGGGGTTTTTCTTCAGAGTATGTCAGCTGTCCAGWGGGACCCTGCAGTGTGGGGTGTTTGGGGCCAGCAAGGTCCCAGKCTGGAGGTGGGAAGCCCTGCTGAGGTTCCAGTTCTGAGTCATTCCCTGCTTGGTTTTCGTATTTATTTATTTACCACCAAGGTGTCAGCCCAGAGCATGCTGACTGTGCCGAACTCCTTCGGTGGCCTGGTGGCTGCTGCCAGCTCTGTCAAAGTCCTGCAGTGCTGGGAGCTTCACCCAGAGCTGAGGGGGAGAGAGAATTATGTTCCTGTGAGAGCAACACCGCCACAAGCTCCCATCAGAAGCATGCTTGATTCTGGGTAACGGGTGCAGCAGCACAGGGTAAATTACTTTCACCCTCCCCACAGAGCCCCCGGCTCCCAGATCCTCTCCCTAAACCAGCTGGGGGGATAGAAAGAGGTTAAGAGGCATATCCTTTGCTGTAATTATATCCTGTTGCTAGAGATATTGTGCTCTGCTTAAAGAAATCATCATAATGCAGCCTCCCRGAGAAGGTAATTACTGTGCATCTTATGAACGGCTGCATGTGAATGTCTGCTCAAGCTGCTGTCAGCAGCAAGTTTCAACACATCTTACATACCAGGCATTTTACAGCCCTAGTTTTATTTGTTTTCATCACCCCTTGCCTTGTGCTTTAGTTTTCATTAATGGATCGAGGGGGGGTTGTTTGTATTGGTTTTCTTTTTTCTCTTTTTTTGTCTCTCTCTCTCTTTTTTTTTTTTTTTTTTTTAAGAGGCCAGAGTGCATGTCTTTGATGGAGCATTTGGGTGGTGGCCACAGCTCTTATTTCTGCATTTTCATTTTTTTTTTTTTTTTTTTTAAGAGGCCAGAGTGCATGTCTTTGATGGAGCATTTGGGTGGTGGCCACAGCTCTTATTTCTGCATTTTCATTGCTCTGTGGTGGCTTGAGGGGAGCCATCTGGAAGATGTTGTTTCCGAGCTGTTCCCATATGGTAGGATCTGAGTGGGCCCTGGTTTCCTACTCTGATCCCAGATAAAATGTTGACAAAACTTGGTGTCACTCCGCCTCTAGCCTAACTGCACATATTTAAGCCCACAGGACAGCCTGTTTTTCCTGTTGTGCTTTCTGACTTTCTCTCTGTTGTTGAAAAAGGGTTGGTCAGAGATGTCAGACCTGTGAACTTTCCAAAACCAACCACCTGCCTGCCTTGTTTGGTGACTTGTTTGGTGCACGGTGAGTTTTGGAGGATCACAGCCTGGTCATTCTGGGCATGGAGATTGCCTCATCCTGTGTCTTCAGAGCCTCATCCTGTGGCTTTGCTTTTCAGCTAGAGATGGGGCAATACTAAAGAGACCTGGTTTGTCCCAGTAGAGGTGACCCAGGTACATTTTTCATCTTAAGTGTCACTTGCCTTTTTTCCAGCACTCTGTAATTTGCCCTCATRTGGTGCATGTAGGGCCACAGTGTGTGTGATCATGACATCCTGCACTGCTGTACCATTATCCTGTCCATCTCATGGCTAGCTCAAGGGAGGATTTAGAACTATTCCTTGGATTTCCTCTSTGAAAATGACTGGYGTTCACTTTTGCAATGCTGAAGCTGAGTTATCTTAGCATCCTCCATGATTTTTTTCTTTGTGGCCAGTCTTCAGTGCATGCAGAGCATCTTCTGTGCTGCATTCAGAGGTGGTTCCATCCTGGTGCTGTGTCCATCTCTCTCTGTGATTCTTGGTGAAGCCTGAAAGGCAGTCTAGCTCCTGGAGGATGGAAGGTGCAATAATAAGTGTGAGCTCATAATGTYGTTGTTAAAAATAACTGGAGCTAAATTATGTAGAAAAAAATCATCTTATTCAATCCTAGCYCAAGGGGGAAATGGACATGAGGAATTGGGCAATCCTTCTGTAAATTCTCTTTCTTTAGACTATATTTAAACCCCACTGAGAGCCGGATTCTCAGCTGGTGTCAATTGTTATTGACTTCAGTGGAGTGAAGCTGGTTTACACAAGCTGAGGTTGCTAAATGCCAGTATCTGGACGAAGTTGAGGCAGCTGGAATTACTTTTGCAGAAACCCTAGTCTGGTTCAAAAGCTCTGAGCCCTCCTGAATGCTTGAGCCATCAGTGCTCTGATTTAGCAGCTCTTTTGGGATGTGAAGGGTTATGAAAAGACCTTAAGTCAAAATTTGCTCTAATCTCAGCTAGGTTCTGTGGCTCTGATATCTGTCATCCTGCTATAGCCACTGCTTTCGATGGGGTCCTCTGAAAAACTCTGCAAAAACCTTTTTACTTGCTACTTCAGCAGCATCATCTCCTGTCTAGACACTCTAATTATGAGAACCAGGGAGCACACAGTGTGATGTGTAGACAAACCTGGATAACTCCAAGGCAACCGTGTGCTGCTTCCATCCCTCCCCTGGCTGCCCTCTGAACCATTTGCCCATTTGTTGTCTGCTCCAGTAGGAAYATTAGCAAAGTGGGGACTGTACAGTGCCACCTGGGCAATATTAATTTTTTTGCTTTTAGAAGCAAATGTTCCAAGCCATAGAAATTGAGAGGCAAACCTCAAATTGCAGTGGGATCTGGCAATAGTGGGTTTAGCCTTCCCTACTTCTGTTTTTTTCTGTATGCCCGAAAACTCTCTGGATTAAGTAAACAACCTCCCCCACCACCACTGTCAGCAGAATGCATTAAATCTGTAAGCTGATTTGAGTAATTTTTGTGTACTCATATCCACTCTAATTCTCTTCTTATCCACAGACTTGTTTTTTATTTATGCCAGCACAGACTGTATCCAAACTCAAGCTCTATTTCAGCAATGTCCTTTTCACAAGCGCTTTTAAAGCTACTGATTTAAAAGGAGGCCATCAAATAATCAATGCATATAGAACATTGGAATGCATTTCCTTGGTTCACTTGCTGTCCATGGAATGTCACCTCCAGGAGAGTGTAATGAGGAGAGAAATTTTTTTTTTCTATTTCCTTCTTTAATGTGTCTTCTTTCCTGATTCTTTTCTGTAACTGGTACCAGAGAGAATTGTCTGTGATTCTTAGCAAGACCCCTGGGATTCAGAATCTTTCTCAAGTCTCTGTGCTTGGAGTGCCGCACGGGTTTCTGTGGGTCTTTGCAGGATTTGGGGCACATGACAATAATCTGCTCGTTGCATTTTGACTCCAAATGAATGTCCTTTGAAGTGATTATAAGGAGGAATTTTTCGTGGGCCTTTTGTTTTCTTGGTAGCAGCTTTTGAAAAGCACCATACTGATCCATGGGAGAAGTGCCACCACACAGCTCCTGTCCTCCAAGAGAGGCACTGTTTGCACTCCTGGCAGTGACRTGGGTGAGGGAATGCCCTGGGATGTGCGTTTAGGTTCCAGTTCTTTATAGTCTGGATCAAAAAGCATCATTTTATGGGTCCTGAGCATGGATAACCTGAAAGAAGTTGACAATAGAGCCAGGTAATGGGTGCCTTGGGYGAATCTCTCAGCTTTGGGCTCAGACAGGAGCTGTTGAGTTCAAGCTGCAGTGCTGCCTCTCTGGGAAAACTGTGCAGGTTTAATTAGAATCTGTTTCTCAACTGATGGAAAAATCTGAGTACTGTCCTTTCAGTGTAAGCTTGGGGTTTCAGCTGAATTCACCTAGGATGGATCAGAGTGTATCTTTATAAAGAGCTGAATTTGGTAGCTGATATATTCAAAGAGTGAATCTCCAATCCTGGGCCCCTGAAGTCAAACTCCAGGTAGGATTTCTAGACCAGTCTACATGGGGATGTCCTCAGTATGCATCTAGCCAAATGTGAAACTCCAGATGGAGCTGTGGCTCTAGGACTTTTCCCAAAGGAGATTTGGGAAACATCAGAGCCAAGGCCAGGCCAGCTCCAGCTGCTCTCCAGGGAGAGTAGCTTGGTACTTCCTACATTGGTTTGAAGGTAAAGGTGCAAGGCTGGGTATTCACTGAGTGTCCCWCTATGGTTATTTTACTCCACTCCTTGCTGGGGGATATTTCCACAGAACGTACTACAGCAGGCTTTGAACCAATTTGTTGTTCCTTTGTTTACGATGAAATTAGTTCACTTGTTTTATGTAAACTATCCATGAGATTGTTTACTTTGGCACAGGGACCCATGTGCTTTCTGAGATGCAAGGAATTTAGCTACCGGGAGCCTGCTTAGTTTAGTTTGTTGCATTTGCAAAACAGATGGTGGAGGGGGAAAATGTGTGTGGGGGGAAGCTTTAGGACAGGATTTGGTTAATGTTTGCTGCTTCTGTAGTTTTCTTTGTTGTTTGCTGGCTGAAGCAGGATGGATTTCCATCACTGGGAAAAGAAAGAAAACATGAAAGAGCTGATGTGCATTTTGCACACACAGGGAAAAAGAAATATAATTTGGACTTGGGCTGTCATTTTGTGGTCATCTTTGCCAAGGTGGAGCTCCCAGTTTCTAGGGCTGGTGSGGTACAGAAGCACCATGGAGGCTTTGTATGTTGACTTGGCTCTGCTCTCCTGACTCCTTTGGAGCCCCGTGGGTCTCAGCAGACGTCTGAGGCATCTGTGACAATATTGCTGTGCTGCTGCAGAGCAACAGGAGGGAAATCTCCATGAGATGTGTGCCCCAGAGTTGGCTGGGGTGGGATGAGGCTATCCCCATGACACTGGGGTGTCCTTTTGGTTAGTG